ACTCCGAAGGGAAACCATCACCATTAATTTTAAAATATAATTCTTGCTGAAATATTTCCATATGTTTGTAGACTTGTTGTTGTTTAGTCGTTCAGTGGTGTCCGACTCTTCGTGACCCCATGGACCAGAGCATGCCAGGCCCTCCTGTCTTCCAATGCCTCCCGGAGTTGGGTCAGATTCATGTTGGTTGCTTCGCAGACACTGTCCAGCCACCTCGTCCTCTGTCGTCCCCTTCTCCTCTTGCCTTCACATTTTCCTAACATCAATGTTTTTTCCAAGGACTCTTTTCTTCTCATGAGATGGCCAAAGTATTGGAGCCTCAGCTTCAGGATCTGTCCTTCCAGGGAGCACTCAGGGTTGATTTCCTTCAAAATGGATCGGTTTGATCTCCTTGCACTCCAGGGGACTCTCAAGAGCCTCCTCCAGTACCTCTGTGGGCCTGCTCTAGTGGAATTCACTACACTAAGCAACAGGATTTCAGCCTTTCTTAAGTTGAGGATCTTTTCTAGTATCTCCACAGTCGCAAAATAATTCAATTTTTAGAGATGAGAACACAAAGGGAGCTACTGCCCTCTGCTGACCAAGCGGCCAAACTGCCTCAAAACAGGTTTTCAAAGCCAAAGAAGTTGGAAGCATTTGCAATTAATTTTTTTTAAAGATATGTTGTATGTAAATAAAGTGTTTTAATGTAATGTTATAAATTGGTTACTTTTACCATTTTATATCACTAATAATAATAATAATATTGTCTGTCAACATATCGACAGGCATATATTAAAAGTATGACCCATTGCATGTGTTTATTTATATGAGAGCTGTTAAGCTGGTGACATGACAGCCACGAACTTGGGTGGAAATGAGTTTTATACAGCAGATTTCGCACCCAGTGCTTTGGCCCTGGTCAGCCGTCTGGGCACAGCATTTTGGACCAGGTTTCTGGACGGGTTTCACAGGCAGCCGTGCACAGGACGGTGCAAGGAACCAAGCAGGGCGCCACCAAGGCCTGCGGGCAGTGGGCTGAGCTCGCAGCACCCACGCATGGTGGCCCATGGTCTGTGAGCCACAGCAGGATAAGCCAGGAGGGTGATGCTGCCTGATAGCATCCCACAGTCCCTTAAGAGCCGCCATAGCAGGAAGCCTCAGCAGGAAGACCTAGTGCCGGCCAGGAGAGAGGTTATCAATCAGCTGGCAGAGAAGCCATTTGGGGGGGGGGGAGAGAAAGATCTCCTTCAGAGAATGCAAGGGATTTCACGTTGGAACCAATGAGGAGGAGAGGCATCAGATGGCAGAGACAACAAAAGAAATGGCATATTTGTCTGTTGTTGCTGGGAAAGAGGCAGGGTGTGTTCCTCCAGGTCAAATGAGGGAGCATAGAGCATTTCTAAAGAGGAATCAAAACGGCCCCTTCCAAGAGGCTCCTGTCCCACAGACACCACCCCCCCCCCGGTTCCTTTCAGGTCCACAAACCTATGAACAAAGGACAGCATTGTTTACTTGAACTTCCCACAAGTTTTGATCAAAGTTGCTCACCAAAGACTCCTGAGCAAATTTGGCGCTGACGGGATGAGAGGAAAAGTCCACTCAAAAGCTGAGGAAAAAGAGTTCAGAGGCCATGGCTGGGAGGGGTGTTTTTATTGTGTTCTTAAACAACGCATCATTGCGGGAGCAGGGTTCCAATCACCTTTTTAATGTCATTCATTCATCCATTCATTCATTCATTGCATTTATACCCCGCCCATCTAGTCAATCGACTACTCTGGGCGGTTTGTGAAGAACAAGGTAAAACCTAGCCAAAAAAAAGAGAGAGTGTTCCTCTGTTCCCCTTGTAAAGAGGTGGCCTTGCCTGCCTGGTGCCTGAGTGGGAAGGGAGGGGACGGGGGGGGGGGACACACCTCATCCAGGGCCTTTATGACATCCTCTGGAATGCCAGCGCAGGACGGGAGGGGGGGGCATTCCAGAGGGCGTCATAAAGGCCCTGAGGCTTGGCTGGAGGGGGGAGCTGGGCACAGTCCCCTTTGAGAGGCTTGCTGAGGAGGGGTGCCCCCCAGGACGGGACGATGCCAGGAGCCGAAGAGGAGGGCTGCTACTCCTGCCTTAAATGTTTGTGGCATTTTCGCAACTACCTGTTCTTCCTGTTTGCCTTCGTTGTCGGGTTCTTGTATGGCGGATTCCTGGTGGGTCCGAGGGTCCGTCTCTGGTCTCCCTGGCGCAAGGCAGGATCTCTGCTCTGCTTGTCCCAGAGCCCTCCCCCCCCCCGGAGAGAAGGAGGAGAGCACTTACCCACCCCTGTTTTCCTCTTGCAGGTCAGAAGAGAGGCCATAATGGAAGAGAGGCACTACTGCGAATGCTCCAGGGACTCCGAGAGGAGCGCCACCCGTCGGAGGAGCCCCCGCTGAATCTGTTCCATCCCGTGCCAGCAGGCGTCTGAGGAGGAGGAGGAGGCCTCCCTCCCTCCTTTCCTCCATTCTTTCCTTCTTTCCCTGCCTGCTTCCTTCCCTTCCTCCCTTCTGGACGACCACAGTAAAAAAAGAGGCCCTGTCTTATTTCTGTGCTCTCCCACCCACTTTCCACCCCAAAATCTGAATGCTCTATTAAAAAAAGGTTGCCTGAGGAATCTGGTGGGGTCGTGGTTCAATTGCAGGTTGAAATGTTTCGCTCCTCGTCCAAGTAGCGTCTTCGGTCTGAGGAGAGTTGGTAGGAGACCCCTGGATAGATCCTCCATCCTCCACCTTGGTTTCACTTCCCCCTGGTCTGAACAGGCTCTGTTAGAAGGGCAAAAGACTGGGGGGGGTGTGTGTGAGGGATAATGCCACTTCTGCAGCCCTTCTCAGCCCCTTGTCATGGGTCCTTGGCGGCCCTTAAGAGTGGTCTTTCGTTACTAACGGAGGGTGTTCCTTCCCCTTCCAGCAAACCTTTGCATTGGGTGCCTCTGAGTAAATGGCATGCCTCCCAGTGCAGGGGAAGGAAGGAAGGAAGGGGAGGAGATGGAGGGGAGAACTTTGCCTGCACCCTGGAGGCCCAGCCGGAGCTGATGGCCCTGCGCTCCATCTCCCCTTCCCAGGCCAGAGCCCGGGATCTCCCCGCTTTCCATGGTCCCCCCCCCTCCCTATTTAGCCTGGCATGGAGAGGAGACCAAGAGACAGTGGGTGATCAGCATCAGCTAAATAAAGTGGGAAGGACAAGCTGATCACATTTTTTAAATTTGAAACAACTTAAATAACAAAATTTAATTTTACAAGTCTATTTACTACAATTACATTTAAAATGCTGTTATTACAAATGGGTACCATTATAAAAGCAACAGAACATGTTTCATAAAGGAAGAGGCAGAGTTACTTAGAAAACAAAGCCCCCCAAAAAAGTTTTTTTGCACGTTTCAGGAGGCGGGGAGCAGCGGTGGTCATGCCTCCCCACTGCCTGACTTAACCTGAAGAGATGGACGGCAGGGGTGGGGGGGTGTTACTTAATCCGTCCATGTGTGTTTCAGCCCTATGGCATGGCATCAGGGCAGGGAGGGGGATTAACAGATTACAGCCATCAAAGAAACCCCTTTTAACCAAATATGCAACTGTGCAACTTCCACCAACCCTTTGGGGGGGCGTCTGCGGGGGGGGGTGAGAGACCTGAAGCAAGAGCAAAAAGGAGAATTCTCAGATCTCTTTTAACACAAATGATATATATTTATCTACAAGCTTAAAAGTACAGTAGACAAATTCATCCAGTTGGGGGTCAAGTTATCAGCACAATCGTCCTAAACTCTCTCCACTAAAAATAAATATATATATATTTTAAAAAGAAGTGCAATCGCTTAGCATTTCCTATTTGAAGATTGTGAGAAGAGGCGAGGACCCTCGTTTCAGGGCTGCCCTTCTGTCACTTTCTAAGCCAACATTTCCTTGCAGCATATTTTGCAGCAGAATCTGAGCCCCCCCCTCCGCTCCCCAAGATTTGCACGGGGTCCCCTTCTCCCAGTCCCCTCTTCGAGGTGCTGCACCTTGAAGGCTGGTGGGGGGACACACACACACAGGCTCCCCGCCCTTGAGAAGGCCAGAAGGGGGGGGGGGACCAAAGCAACGGGGAGTGGTCCCTCATGCACAGGACACTGTCCAGAATCCGGGCTCCCCGCCACCCACCACTTCTCTGAATGACGTGGGGCGGGGGGGGGAGATTCTTCTCCCCCCCCCTTGAAGACTGACAGGGCAGGCCCACATTTCCTACACAGCATTCACAAAATTATCTGGGGAGACAACAAAACCTTTAATAAAAATAACCCTGAGGGATCTATTATTAAAAATCTGGGATCTATTATTAAAAGTCTTTTATGTTAAAAAGTATAAATTAGCCATTGCTCTCTTCTTGAGCAAGTGAGTCCTTTAGCCATGTGTATAAATAATGAAATAATAATTACAATAAAAATAACAGCAATGTTTAGATTAGCCATATTTACAACCCACACATATCAAAAGATAGATTTAGGTTTTTTGGTGCAAATAGCACAAATAATTTAAATAAGGAACTCTGATACCACCTGATCACTGTGATGATGATGGACCTGGCCAAGGAAAAGAGGAAACGCAGCAGCCCTCCCCCCACTTCTCCTCCACTGCCCCCTCCCACATTTGTTCCAAAGAGCCCTAAACCCCCTCACCCACGGCTCCCGCCATCCAAATCACAGGCACCCCCTTTAGGTTCCAAGCAGATCAGGGCTCTTCCAAAAAGCCGGCCTGGGGAGGGAGAAGCCCCCCACCCAGCAGGAAGGAAGACCCTGCAGAACGGCCTTCCCTGCACCGTTTCCACCCAGGCCTGTTGGGTGGGCCCATGCGTGCGCGCCACCCACCACCCAAAGGTGGGCACCCACAGGATCGTACAATGGCACGAGGTGCTTGTGAACTCACAGTCCCAAGGTCAAAAGATGCATAGTTGTCTGGACTCATTCCTTCCTTCCTTCCTTCCTCTCTTTAATAAAACAGGACAGTTTTATACATTAAATTGGATTCCTTCCTTCCTCTCTTTAATGAAACAGGACAGTTTTATACATTAAACTGGAGTGGGGAAAGGCCAGCCCTGCGCCATCAGGTGGAAGATCCTCCGTGGCTGACTCCCCCTTCCGCAAAGGAAGCAGGCGATGGGTCGGGGGGGGGAGACCCAGGAGGGAAGCAGTGCCCTTGGGCAAAGCTTACAATGAGGGTAGCGGATGATCCAGGCCAATGGTGCTGCATCATCGTCATCTCTCTCTCACACACAAACACAAACACACACACAGAGCCAAGTTGTCTTCCACCTGAGCCCTTTCGGTTGAGGTATAAAGCGACAGGAGTGAAGACCGCGTGGCTTGGCGCTGGCTGCCCAAGAGTCACCCGGCAGAGTGGAGGAGGAGGAGGAGAGGTGGCAGGCGAAGGTCTTCGGGGCAGGCACACGTTGGGCCAAGCGCCTCCCCCCTCCCAGTCCTTGACGGATGGTGCGCGACGTCCCCGTTCGGATGACCCCTGCCTGCTCAGGCATTGATCCAGGCCCACCACCTCGCGCCCCGCCTCTCAGTTCCCCCCCACATCACAGCTGAACCCACAGTGTGCACCCTGCGTGGGGCCATGCTGAAGAACGAGTCCTCTCTGGCAGCCTGGGCCTCATCCTGTCTAGACGGGTGAATGGTCCAGAGGGCAGCCCCGTTCTGCCCACGGAGAGGGCCGCTGTGGGCGACACTCTGCCTGCCGGTACCCATTTGCAGCATCTGTGCAGAGGGTGGTGGTTGAGACGCTGGCAGGCCACCCTCGCTGCATGAGTGGGGGGGCGACCCCTGACTCCCAAGGCGGCTGGCTGGTGTTGGCCCCAAAAGTGAACGCCAAGGCTTCCGAGGCCGAGCACAACGTCCTGAGATCTGAAGGGCTTTGAGCCAGAGGGAGCGAGGGTGGACGAGCGAGCAGCCCTCCCGGCCCGGCACATTTCGCCCGGGTCAGGCGGGGGGAGGGCAGGGCCAAACTGTGGCACTTGGTGGTGCAGAGGGAAAGGAGAGGCGAAGGGGCAAAGCGGCCAGCCTTCTCCCTCTTGGGTTCGCTTCCCTGTCTGGGGAAAAACAGGCTCGGAGGCGAAAGGGGGGGGCACAGGGGACCCCGGCCCCTCCTTCAGGCACGGTTTTCTCCTCCACGTCCACGAGGACCAAAGGCCCCCACCGCCTTGGACCCAGAGACACACACACACCCCGAGGCACGCAGGACCGGCCGACGGAAGGAAGGCTGGGGGAGCCGGCAGGAAAAGGCGGGCGTGCTTCCCCATCTGGCACAAGGTTCTCCTTCCCCAGTGATGCCGTGGGGCCAGCCCGAGGGGCTGGGGTGATTCACCGGCTCCTCAGCCGAGCGGGTTTCCGAAGGACCACGGCGACAGGACGCGGTCCCACTGCCGTCGGCCGCCGCTACGTGATGGTGATCATCTGGCAGGAGCCGTTTCCGTGGGCCGGGGGGTGGGTCTTGGCCTCGGTCGTGCTGCAAGGCTTGGGCGGCCACGTGGGGTCCACCAGCAGTTCCTGGGCCAGGTGGGCGTAGCGGGCTTTGGGAGGCTTCTTCTGGAAGCCCAGGAGAGCAGGAAGCGGAAACCCTCGCCAGCGGGCCGAGGTCTCCTAGGAGGAGAAAGGGAGGGAGAGGAAGGGCCATCAGAAGATGCATCCAGCAACAGGGGCACGCACACACACACACCCCTCGCCCTGACCGCCCTCTGCAGAGGCAGGAGCTCCGCCTGGGCCCACCCCAGAGCACCCACAGGGACCACGTGCTTTGCCACGCCCAGCCGGGGAGGGGGGCCCCTCCACACTCGGAGCAGGGGGGGGCCTCGTCTTTCACTGCTTGGGAGCTGGTGCTGCTCTAGAGTCACGTCCTCCACCGTGGTTTCAGGTTTGGGAAATGCGCCTCAAGAGCAACCCATCATCAAAAGCAAGTGTGGCTCAGCCGCCCCCGGGTGGACCTTGCCCCCCCGTTGCCCCTCCCTGGAGGACCCCAGTGTCACACACACACACACACCCTCCGCCTCTTCTCCTCTGGCCCCCTTGATCCAAGGGACCCCCTCCCCCCGCGTGAGGCACGCCAGGGCCTGGATGTCCCTCCATGGGGCTGGGGGTGGGGGGGGAGGAAGCCAAGCCCTGGAGGGGGGGGCACCCACAAGTCCCTCAGGCTCACCTAACTCAGCAGGTGGGACCTTGAGGGAGAGACCGACCTTCCTCCCTCCAGCACAACCGGGGAGACCCTCTCAACCCCGGGGTCTCCCCCCGCAGAGGCCTCTCCCCAAAGCACCCCAGCCGTGGGAGAGGGAGCGCGGCGGCGAGACCTCCCACCCCACCCCTACCCTGCAGAGTCCGTGGGGAGCGCGTGGCATGCTTGAAGGAGGGCGAGAAAAGGGCAGAAGAAGTCCAACCTGTGGCAGGCGGTGAGAGGAGGAGGAAGAAGAAGAAGAGGAGGAGGAGGAGGAGGAGGAAGAAGAGGCCACAGCAGCTAGCCAGGGTTCCCCTCGCTTGTCTCCACTGAAGAGAGCTCTCCAAAGGAGGAAGTCCAGGAGGAAGGCCTGCGGCAAGTTCCCGGGGGGAGGAGGCGGAGGAGGAGCAGGAGCGAGAACCAAGAAGAGGGGCGACTGTTCAGAAACAGAGAAACCACCCAACGCAAGGCCAGCCCAAGAGAGGGGCTGGCCCTGCTCAACTCAGCAGAGCAGAGAGAGAATCCTGGCCCCCAGGCGTGTGTGTGTGTGTGTGTGTGTGTGTGTCATGTGGCAGTCACGGACTGAGTGGAGCCACGTGAGAGGGGCAGCAGCCGCAGCAACAGTATGAGCTTGGCCCGTCCTTTGATTCTCAAGGAGGAGGAGTGAGTGGGGTGGGCAGGAGGGGCAGGCGCCTGGTGCAGTGGCCGCAGCCTCCAACAGAGGGCAGCACACCTCCCTTGCAAAAGGACACACACACCCCCGCCAGCCAGGCAGCCTCAGCTGCTCTTCCCCAGGAGATGCTGGAAGCCTCTCTGGACTCCGCAGGCCTCCCTCGGACGGCACCAAGGGTGGGTCAGCACAGACTCCTCGCGGGCGATCCCCATCAGGGCTCAGCCACCACCACCACCCCCCCACACACACACAGGGACCGTGTTCACACCCATGTGCCCAACACCAGGGCCCGGGAAACCACACAGCATCAGCAGCAGCAGCAGCAGCGCTTGCTTTTAAAGAGATTGTGGGGCTTCCCAGGATGGGCCAGGAGGGACGTCCTCCCACCAGGAACCAGAGCGGCCCCAGGAAACCCTTCCTCTCCGCCTGGAGGGCTCACCACCAGAACAGCCCCCCCCTTGTCAAAGAAGGAGGAAAGAGATGCTGCTGATGTTGCTGCCACCAGGATCCCCTTGCTTTGGTGGGGGGGAAGAGGCTTTGGCGAGAACCCATAAACATTGGGATGCAGAACAGGAAGATATCACAGCTGTGGGAGGGGCAAGGATGTGGGTGGTTCAGCCTCTGGAGCCAAAAAGCTGCCCGCCCGCCCCCCCCCGGCCTTTGCACCCCAGTTCAGGAACCTTTGAAACAACCCTCACAGCTCACCTCCACCAGAAGGGAGACGAAGGCGTTGATGGCGACCAGCAGGAGGAGCGTCAGGCGCCACGAGTAGGGCACACACACCAGCTGGAAAAGCACACACACACACACTCGCATCAGTTCTGCCCACCCCCTGTTTCACGCAGCCCCCTCTGGGACGGCTGCCATGGGGGAGGGTGGGAGGGCAGAGGACGGCCCTTCTTTCCGTCCTACCTCCAGGAACCAATCAATGGACGCCACTGGGTGCAACAGGACCAGGAGCATGAAGGCATAAAGAACCACCAAGGAGATCACGAAGAGATCTGCAACAAGAGAGGGAGGGGAAAGCCAGCGTCAGGCGCCCTGCCCCCTGTCCGGCCCCTCCCTGAAAGATGGCTCCCTGCTGGGGGGGGCAAAGCCACCTACGGTTCCGATAGCAGGGCTGGCGGAAGGGCTTCCCTTTGGAGAAGGCAACGGCCACGATGAGGTACTGGAAGCTGGAGATGAAGAAGACGGTGGTGTTCTCGTAGTTCTGGATGTTGTGCTCATTGAGGTCCGACTTGTTCCTGGTCTGCGAAGAAGAGGCGTTGTCCGAGGGGGCCTTGGGGAGGCTGCAGGCGCTGAAGGACAACGGGTGGAATCAGCGCAGCCCCTCCTCTCTCGGCTGGCTCGCCTCCTCCCTCCAGCCCATCCGGGGGGGGGGGCTGAAAAAGGGGGCTGGCTTCTCCTGCAAGCCCCCCCCCCCTCCAGCACCTCTGGGACTCCCCGGGGCTTCTTTGGAGAACTAGAAGCCTGCCTGCCATCTCCTGAGAGCGAAAGCAACTCAGGGCAAGGCGGAAATGAGCCTGGAAAACCCGTCCAGGCAACCGGCAGGATGAACTTCAGCCCCATTTGATGAGCTAGGAACTCACTGGCACCACGGCTGCGATGAGTCCTGCTGCCAATCACCCCCTTCCTGGCGCAGCCGAGTGGACAAGAAAGGCGGAGGCCCTTCTAGCTGAAGAGGAAGGCGTCCTCCTGACCTGCACCCCCCCAAGGAGGGGACCCAGCGCCACCCACAGAACGAAAGGGCTGCGGTTTCTCTGGCCGGAAAGAGCAGGAGTCCCTTTCCTCCACGGCCCTCCTCTTCCAAGAGGTCAAGGGCATCACACCCGCTGTGGTTTCACCCTGAAGGCAAGGGGGGGGCAAGAGGTCTTCCGGGAGGGGAAGTGGGCCAGAACCTGAGTGGCAACCGGCCAGGCCAGGCCCAACGAGAGAGCTTTGCAGCTCGGGGTGGGCAAAGGGGGGGAGGGAGTCAGCCTGATATACCTCGCAAGGTTTTTGCACAGAGAAAGTGGGGAAAAGAGGGAATGTGCATGCCACAGTCGAACTCACTGAAGAAAGGAATATAAATGTAACAAAGAAATAAAGTGATGATGGTACTGTATATCACACACACAGGCAAACCTCCCATCACCGCCGCATGTCCAGAAAAGGGAGAGATGGGCCCCTCCCAGAAATGGGTGGACAGAGCCTGGGGCCCCACCAGCGAGGAGGGAAGCGCCAGCCCTTCCCTGGGCCTGTGGGTCCGCCCGTCCACCTGCCCGCTGAGGCCGGGCCTTGCAGGGGCCACGGGCACCTCCTCGAAGGCGGGCCCACCTCTCGGCCCGCCAGCCCTGCCACCCACGACTTACTCCGAGAGGGGCGTCCAGACCTCGTACCAGGGCTGGCGCCTGACCCACAGGAAGCCCAGCGCCTGGAAGCCGAGGGAGATGAGGATCTGGGAAAGGACGGAGCAGAGCAGGGTCCCCGAAATGAGGCCGGACGGGGGCCGCCGCGCCACCAGCTCCTTCCAGGCGGGGTTCAGGCTCACTGCGGAGAACAGAGGAGTCAGAAGCGGCCCCGAACGCAGACGGCCAGGGAAACCCTCCTGCCCTCCAAGGAAAGCCCAACGCCCTCGGGACTGACACCAGAGAGGGAGAGGAAGTGGACCCAAGAGCTGAGGTGGCCCAAGGAGGAAGAACCGGACAGGCTGAAGGAAAGGGGCCTGCTCCTGTGACCCCCACCCTGTGACCGAGGCTCCTCCTTTGCTCTGATGTATGCAGGGACATGAAGAACAGAAGGGGTGCCCGGAAGCCCAAAGGCTGGGCCTTTCCCGAATGCACAGGAGGAGAAGCATTCCTGGCCTCCACCTTTCCAGCCGGGCTCGGCAGACGCAGCCACGGCCGCTGATCCACAAAAGAGGAGCCATCATCTCGCCGCACCGCCAGCCGTGTGTCCCTCTTGCTGCCCCAACGCCTACCCCCCCTCGGACCTCGACCAGGAAGAACGGCCAGGGCAAGGGCATGGCGGGGGGCCGCTGCAGAAACACACACACAGAGACACTGCCCACCGCCCCTCCCAAGCATTCAGAAGACCTTCCCGTGGTCTGAGCACTTGGGCCACGGAAACGGGAGGACACACCTTCCCCGGAAACCCTGGCTAAGCCATCCAGGTGTGGTGGCCGCTGGGGGGGGGGTTTGAATGGGAGGACCTTCAGGCCCCTGCTTCCAATCTGCCATCCCATCAGTCTAAGCGGCAGGCCTTGGTTCAGAGAGGGAAGGAAGGCAGGAGGGAGGGAGGAAGGACCACCAACACCCCCCCCCAGGTGTTTTCAGGGAGAGGTCAGCTCTGTGACTCTGCCTTCGGCCACTGGAAAAGCCCGGAGGGACCAACAGGAACAAGAGGCCCCTTCGGGAATCACCGACTTATTTCAGGGCGACCTTTCCGTGGACACCGTCCACTTGTCTTGGGCGTCTGAAGGGCACCTGCAGCCTCACAGCCCACAGCCGTTTCTTCGCCTCAAAGCAACCCCGTGGCTTTCCTTTTTCTTTCGGCCGACCAGAGGCGCTCCTTGAAGGGGAGGAAGTGGGAGAAGGGGAGAAGGGCAAAGGAGCCCTGGGCCAATACTCACTGGTGAAGACGACCACCAGAATCAGGGCCAGGTCGATGAAAAGGAACTGGAAATCTCCCAGATTGCTCTGGATCTGCAAAAGAACCGCCCTCACGGCATCAGCAGGGAAGGAGAGAGAGCCTGCGCCAGATGACACCAAACCCCTTCCGTGACGCTCCAGCTGGTGGTGGCTGGCAGCTTGCTTTGAATCTACGGGACCCTGAATCCCCTCTGGTCGGGGGAGGGGGCCTTCGGGCACCTGCCCCCTTCCCTCCCCCCTCCCTCCCTCCTCTTCCCTTCCCTTCGGTCTCCCGGCCAGAACACCAAATTCCACTTTGCCACCTGGGTTGCAGCCTTTGTGGCGGAACAGAGCATGAGAGAGACGGAGGTGGGAACATGCTCAGGACAGAGGAAGAGCAGCAAAGCGCCTGGACCGCCCAGAGCTCTCTCCCTCCTCGGGTGCCTTCCTCGCTTGCCGCCTTCTGATGCCGGGCAGGAGCAGGAGAAGGTGGGCACCCAGGCAGCAGAGCGCCCTTCAAGGGGCAAGGGGCAAGGGGCAAGGGGCAGACCGGCCCTTCTGCTCCCCTACAAATATGCCCACGCTGAAAATAAATATTCAGGAACACTGCAAGGGGTGTTCTGTCCAACACTCACAGAGTAAAGGAGAGTGACGCTGACGTACTGGATGATGCTGTACAAAGCCATGAATTTAAACACACAGAAGGAGGTGATCAATGCCGCCCGGCCCTCCCTGTGAAAGCAAAGAGATCCATGGGATGCTACCCAAGCAAGCCCTCTGAGAGCTGCTGACCCAGCCCCCCAGGATGAGAAAAAGAGAGAGGGGGGGGTGTCACAGCAGGTTCCAAGCCTCCCACGCCTCCTGTGCCAAGAGAAACTTCTCCCATTTCTGGAGAATACAGAACTCAAGGACAACAGCTGCTCTCTATATAGGTTGAGATCTTTCTTTTCTGGTTGAAGGTCTAGAAGCTTGTTCAGGTTATACAGCTGCTCTATATAGCTGTGCTCTCTCTGAGAGAGAGAGAGAGAGAGAGAGAGAGCAGCTATATAACCTGAATAAGCTTCTAGACCTTCAGCCGGAAAAGAAAGGTCTCAACCTATCAGAGCAGCACCTGGTGAGGAAGCCTGAAGGGGCGCAAACACCTCCCCTCTTCTCTCACGGCTGAGCGAAAGACCTGCGCCTCCCCTCACGGAGGAGAAGCAGGAGAAGCCACCACCAGCTTGCCTGCAGCTCCGTCGGCGTTTAGTCCAGGGGAGAAAACGCACCCGGGGGGACTTGGGCCAGCTGACTCTGCAGCCCCCCTGCCTTTTTGGCACCCTTTCTCGTCTCCGCTTGGACTGCCCCCCCGGCCACGTGGGTCCAAACACTGCTTTAACAACCGCTGCCACAAGCACGTATTTACCTCACCCAAGGGGGGGGGACAGGAGATCCCCAAGAAGGGAGGGGAAAGGAGGGAGAGGGAGGGAGAGAGGGGAGCCCGGAGGGCAGGGCAGCGATGGAGCAGGAGGAAGGGCGTTGTGCAGCCTTACTCAGGCCTTGCGAAGGCCCTGGTTCATGGAGCCCATCCAGTCATCAGGGGCAGGGGCTCTGCGGTGCTGGTGAGCTGGGGATGAGGTGACACCATGGCAAGCCTTGCTTTTGCATCCACGCTCCACCGCAAATGGTTCCTAGCCCCACCTTTGCCTAGGGGAAGGGCGTCGGGCAGCCTCCCCCGCAACCTCCACGCCTTCCCACATTGCTGGCAGGACGGTGGCACTGCACGGCCAGCTCTGTGGGCCCCACGGGCCGGCTGAGCCCGAGGGAGACGCCTGGGCGGCCCGCTCGGGGCCTCCTCACCTGATCAGGCTGGGCACACAAGAGATGCTGGCGGTCCTGGAGGTGAACGGCGAGGCCACCGAAGCTTCCAGCTCCGAGAGGGAGATGCCCCCATGGGCCCTCTTCAGCGCCTGCCGGGGGGAGGGGGCAGAGGGGGGGGAAGTTACGGCTTGTGCTGCTCAGAGGATGGCGCTCGGCAAACACCAGGAGAGGACAGAGAAGAGGAGACTCACCCCGCAGTCGTTGGCCCCGTCGCCGCACATGCCCCCGTAGTAACTGCACAAGCACAAGGGGTGGGGGGCAGGGGTGGGGAGAGGAGCGTCAGGGCCTGGCAGCGACACCTCAGCCTCCCACGTTCCACCCCACCCCTCCCCTTCTACCCACCTTCTGGGCAATGGGAACAGACTCTGGCCCTAGAGATGGGCACAAACTGAAAAACGAACCAGACAGAAACACGGGTGGAACTGGCTCGTGGTTCGTGGATCCGCTTTTGCCGAAATGAAATGAAGTGCCAAACTTTTCCCGCGGCGCTTCATTCTCTTGCAGCCCAACAGGACGCCAGCCCCTGCCCCCTTCACCTCCCCACCTGGTCGCGAAGCCGCTGCGGCCACCGTCCAGAGAGGCAGCGAGCCCGGCCCCTGGCACGGAGGCTGCGCCCAGGAGCCCCACCGCTCGGCTGGCAGGAGGGCACAAGCGCCCAGGACAGCAGACGGCTCTTCCCCCTTTGTGCCCATCTCTAGGGATGACCCCAGAGCCCCTGCGGCTGCCATGCAAGGCTCACGAGGCCACCAAGGGGCTGCCCAAGGGCCACCAGGAGACACACACACAGGGCAGGGGGTGTGTGGTTGTGTGGGGGGGAGAGGGTCTTTGGAGTCTTCAGTCTGAAAGGAGACACACGTGTCCTGCCAAAATCACTGCCAGCATTGACTACACACAGACACACACAGAGACACACACACACGTGTCCCTGCGGGGAAGGGAGGGGGTTTTTCAGGGGGGCTGAGAGACTCCCGTGGCCAACCTGCGCAACGTGGCCTTTTCCACCCTGGGCCTGCAATGGGTTCCCTGCTAGGGGGCTCCGTCAGGAAGGCCCGGAGGGGGCCTCCTGGCCCTCGGACTGACAAAGGGCAGACCCAATGCCCTCCCCCCGCAACAAGGACACCCTCCTCCCACAGCAGAGGCTGCTGAGGAAGAAAAGGAGAGCCTATGATCCGAGGACGGACGAGATCCGTCAGGGCAGGCCGGCCGCTTCTGGCCACCTGACCCACACACACACACAACACACACACACAAGGGATGAGATCAACAGGCCACCGGAAAGCAAACGGATCAACGGGACCTCCTGTTACGACAACAGCCGCCCAAGAGGGAGACTCACTCGACATTCTGCAAGGCCTCCACCAGCTGGGTTTTCTGGTCTGGCGCCATGCGAGCAAAAACGGTTCCATGCAACACGAGCTGAAAGACAGGGCCTCTCTCAGTGAGCAGCAGGCAGGCGCCCAGAGGAAGCCCGCCAGGAACAGTGACACCTTTAGGATGGCCTTTCTGGGCCAGGACGTTCACTCGTAATTACTGGGCAAATCCTGCTCTATGGCTTTGCACCGTGTGAGCCATTTACCCCACCCACCCCAAGGTGAACAGAGCACTAGCAAAAGGTGCGGAAGGTGGCCGCCCAGACCACTGAGGAGCATCCGGGACACTGAAGAGCTGATGGGGGACAGACGGGAGGGGGTCGTTCATCACCAGCTGCCCCAGGAAACAGACGGAGAGTGCTCTGAACAAGGCTGAACCGAAGGGAAACACAGCCCCACCTCGGCCTCCCCACAGATAAACGAATGCTTGGGCAGGTGGAAGGATCACTTTTTCCATCCAGGAAGGGGAGAAAAGAACCAGGCAAGGAGCGCTCTGCTCCAGCTGTGCGGCACAGCTGGAGAGCAGGAAAAAACACCTCTTTCCCCCACCCCCCAGGACTAGCTCTGCACAGCCAAACATTTCTGTCTGTGTGTGTGTTGTTGTGTTTTAAGTCTTTCCCAAATCTCAGCGGGGAAGCGGGTTGTGCTGCAAACAAACCTTGGGCATAAGGTCCTGGAAGTGCTCCTGGATCACGGCGAAGGACTTCCCATCCATAGCAAAATGGTACTTGGCCGCGTGGACCTCCTCTAAGCTCTCGTGAGCCAGTTTGATAGGAATTTCCTGCCGGGGAAGAGAAAGGGTGCCTTGGTTGCAGCTGGTGATTACATTCCCGTGCAAAAGCCTCCTGTGGGCCTGCCCGCCTTTAAACCCTGGCGCCACCGCCGCCGCTGCCAGAAGGAAGGCCTTTTCCAAGGGCGCCGCAAGCCAGGAGCAAACATCATGTAGGGCGCGGCCGAGACAGGGAGAAATCGGCCCCTTCCAGAGGGGAGTTAAACTGGTCCATATCTCTCTTGGCAGGAGAAGATGCACCCATCTCAGGACCCAGCGACCAGGCTCCCCTTTTGTCGCCACAGCGAAGCAGCAACGCTTAGAGGACACAGCGGGTCAAAAGGGATGGAGGTACCTCCCCAAAAAGAGAAACACGCCTGGCCAGTTGCAGGGGGGGGGCGCGGTCTCTGCCTTAGCCCCAGGCATGGGTAGAGCGGGACACGTCTACTGAGACAGGAGACCTGCTAACCAAGTTCCCCCCCCCCAAAACCAAAATCCAGCTGCTTTTGTTTGCAGGCAAATTTATGCAGAGGCCATCATACAAAGGCTGAAGTCCATTAGCACGTCCTAACCAGAGTAGCCCCTTTGGATCAGAGGGGATTTCTTGATCTAGAAGTTTGAATAACTCAATGGCCTTCCTTCCTGTTGTGCCTTCCAACTGAATCTCGGCCGTATAATAAGCCAAGATGTCTAAAGGAAGCAACCTGCCCCTCCTAAATGACGTGGGGAGAAAGACCAGTCCCTTTGCACTTTTCATGGCAAAATTCACCCTCCAGCAAGGGTGTTCCCAAATAAACCTGCAGCACAAGGCAGGGCCTTGGAGCCTTGAAGGGGGTGGGGGATGGGGGGCCAGAAAGGGCATCACTTGGGGGGCCCCTCCAGAGAGCCCCCCCTCCCGGCTGCCTCCTGGAAGACTCTTCTT